CCTTACTTTTAAGTGACGTCCTCAGTGGCTAGACTAAACGTGAAGTGGCATCTATTGAGACTGATTGTCTGTTTTTAGTCTAGCCACTGAGGATGCCACATAACAGTAAGGGGTAAACGTATGGCAACAGTCTATTATAGACGTCGTGTCATGCAATCACCATCAAGCAGTATCATGCAGTATCATCGTTGCTGCAATCACCAGCAATCATCTTTGAAAAGTGTAAAATTTGGGAAATTTTGGGATGAGTTAGGATTTTGCGAAAATTGAAACTGTAGTTAAACCTTCAACCTAAAAGTTTATTTTCAAATTAAGCAGACATTCACCTTTATGAACTATTAATTGAAGTAAAACAAGTTTTGGCAATTTCTTATTTTCAGTATGGTACGTTATGTAACATATGCGTAGTACACAGTAATTCAAGGCTTTATATGAAAAATTCTTTCCGAGATGCGCTTGAAGAGGCATAATTGTTTATTGTTTTTATTATAAATTGATTTTAACAGGCTGAAAACTAAATGTATTATTGATCAGTAGACCTACAGTGTGAAAATTTGTTGAGACACTTAAGACACAATCAACATTGAAGATTGAAAGTCGAACCAATAATGCGAAAGAAACCTTCATTTTCTTGATATTTGTGTACGTCAGCCAAAAATAGGATTTAAAGGTAAAATATCCTTTTCCTAAACTTAATTTTAGTTGATAAATCTGAATAATATAGTTGAAGAATTCAAGTAATATACTGTAGTTGGGAAATATGTGTAATATAGTTGGGAAATACGATTAATATAGATGGATAATCTGCGTAAAATAGTTGGAAAATTCAAAGTATTTCCCCTCCCCCTCCCAATATTTTTTTCGTGAGACGCCCCTGCCACCATGAACTTAATACGTCTGTTTACGATTGTCTTAATTTGGTTTTATACAGCATGCATATTTAAAATTCAAGAGGATAACAGAAAAAGTTAGTACAGCTTTATTAATCATAGAAAAACTACTTGCATATGTAATTTAGTTTTTAATTTGTCAGATCAACTGTTTCAAATTCTTGTAATTCGTTAATATTTCGTTCCTTTCAGTTGTAGCATATTAGTCTTAATAGTATTTTTTTTATAATATACGTCACACTTTTATTGATGGGAGAAAACGCAGATGGGTTTATCATTGCCTGAGGCATATATTATATTAAAGGTAGGTGGACCTTAGCATGATGTAGGACCTAAACCACTGGCTCGCAGCAATATTGCATCGCTAACCCACATCGTTACTTAAATAATCGGATTTAAAAAGATCAAAATTGGTGTTTCCTATTTTGGCTATATATTAATAACTATTTTGTATGCATAGAAAAAATAAATATTTAGTACATTGAATCACTGTAGTACGCCAAATGACGTGGCGATCAAATATAAATTAAAAATTAATAGGATATTCGTATAACTGTTGCAGTTTGGCATTTTAGGGATACAATTTAATCACATTTGGCTAATTTGTTTATTTCATTCTAAGCTATTGAATTTCAATAAAAACAAATTTTATTACCCTTTTAATACTATTTTATTCCCTCTACAGCAAACCTAAGTTCTCATTAAAATTAATGTAATTTGAATAGAAAAAAATCTGACTATTTTAAGGAAATATTTTCATTAAAGCCATCCAGATTAATGGAAATCCACTTAGTCTGCAGGATAGCTATTTCTCATATCAATTTTTGATTTTCCAACTATGTAATTTGCTAATAGAGAAACATATGAAACAGCTTGTCACGTGCAACATCAAAGCCTGGAGATTGAACTAAAATCATGAGCACAATGTGAGTGGGACATTTGACTTGCTGCCAAACTAGTATCAGATGTGACCAATCTACTCGTATATAATTTGCTCTATTTTACTGTTTTTATGGTTCTTAGATAATAGTCTACCATAGCAATGATGGCAAATATAGCTTGGTTGATAATTGGTCATAGTGCTTGCCTGATAATTCGAAGACCACCCGTTCGATCCTGAGAGATTATAGTAACATTTGATGGTTCAAACCTGGACCCAGCTGTCCTTGATCATCTAATAACGATAATAATAATAATTAATAATGATACGATAATTATTTTATTGTTATAGTTAGGTAATATTTGCGTTATAATAATAACACAAGCATTATCCCCACGTCTCAAAAAAAAAAAATAATAATAATAATAATAACTCTTAAAGTAAACTAGGTGAAACCCGTCGAAATCGACGGTTACTTTCAAGGCTTACGTTAATTCATCTAACTGCGATAAATTGGGTGAAATATACATATTTTGAGCATTTAGCATTGTTTAAAGAATAATAAGTGTAAAAAAATTATGATACCGAATTGCGTTAGTTGCCAAATTTGGTTGATCATTCAATGAATAAAATATTCCCCATACCATACGTCATCGGAGTTATTATTAGTATGTTATATGGTATCTCTTCCTTTGGAAGAACCTTTAAATAGTATTAAAATCGTATTGGTGGATCTTTTGTAGTTAAACACTTCTGTGATTTCTTCAGCGTAATATGATTTTATTTCAAAAAAAAATATTTTTGGGAAGACATATTCTAACTTCAAAGGGAGTTATATCCGTTACATTGTAAGTTTGATTTTTCCTTCGTCACGTCGCGTCAGTTCATATCGTACTTCTGTGCCAATGAATGAACCCTCTAGCATCGTTTTGAGAAATTGATTGTGGGGTTCCTGTTAAAGCTGGAATTCTTTGACATGGGGGATGTCAGTTAGTTGCCTCAGCCTTATCAATAACATAAAGTTGTCAATATAATCTCTCTACGGAATGTTAGGTGTACAGTAGTGGAATACTTGAAGTGAAGTTGGCTTTTATTCTTGAACTTGTAAGGAGCCTCCTAGTTCATATGGTCTTGAGGCTTCATTGGCAACAAATAATGCAAATAACATAGCAATGGGACATTTCCAAAAAGCAAAAATACTGTAAATTAGCTGTTACGTATATATTGCGTTTACATATTGTTAATCAACGTATCTTATAAAGGATTATATAATCTACTTTAAAAGGAATATGACCTTTCTGTCATGACAGGAGCTTCTTAAATAGTATTTTCTCTTTATACCGTATTTTACAGCCAAAATGTCGTGTTATTTTCAATAATGTTACCAACCCAGTGTGCCAAAGTCCGTAATATAGGCAGGTGCAAATAATTTGTCAAGATGGGTACCATTTTAGGCAAGGTTTCTTTGATTGGATTTTATTAGGCACGATAAGAGCAGATATTTCTACATAAGTATTTGATGTGTAGAATAATATGATAAAATGTAGGCAAAAGTGGTGAAAAAGGCAGATACCAACCCGTGCAATAGATATAAGATTGTTCAATAAGAAATAATTTAAGAATTGCTGTGATAAAAGGATTTTCCACTGATTTCGTAAAGGAACGTTATATTGCAAAACATGACATGATAAAGAAGAAAATCAATTTCAAAATCAGAAAATAACATTGCAAATACTTATTTGGTAGAATTCAGTAACTCCCAATAAATGTGTGTTGTTTGAAATACAATTTAAAAATGAACAGCTGTTTAATTAAAAAGTATTATTCATGGCCAAAATGTAAACAACTCTGTGGAGGGATCTTTAAAGGCTTCTGGGGCAGAGCCCTAAGGGATTTTGCTTAGTTTTTTCTTTTGATACTCATCTACAGACCAAGACCTTTCTTTGGACACCTCTACCAAGTTTCTACGCCCAGCCGTTCTCTCAAATTAGTGGGGACAAAGTTTCCAATTAAATATTTAAATTCCCCCCCCCCCCATGTTAATCTTATGGGAGAAAATCCAACTTTGATGGCCTGTGGGGCAAAGCCCGAGGATTTTTATTACAGGAATTGGTGAAAGGGGGCGTCTACACAAAAAATACTTTACTTTGACACGTCGTTTGTAAAAATCCGTCCATTATTAACGGAGGAGTAGTGTTTTGTAGAAATCGCCTTCACGTATTATATATAAGGATATCATAATAATTTATTAATAGTCCTGGCTAATGAAACAGCTGGTCAGTAACAAAAGCTACACAGATCATCTCGCACAATTCTACACTCATCCTGCAGTGTTTATATTTGGGTTGAAATACACAACCATCGCAACTGATAGTAATATTAATAGTATTAGGTCAATGGAAAATCAAATTCATTATGGCCATCAGAGGGTGTTTTCCCTTATAGGCCCTACTCTAAATCGTAAAATGCAGAATATATGTTGTTCCATAAAACTTGAACTACGTTATACTTAGTTCCCCTTCTATTGCATAACAAACACTGTTGTACAATATTTTTAAGTTTTAAATATTAAAGTGCATGTATTTTTTTAAGATCATAAAAAATGAATTCCTCCTCTTTAGACTGCTTGTTAATAATTGTAAAGAATCTTCACTCCAAAATGCAACTAAACTTTAATAGTATGAAATCATAAGTCATTATGTAAAAATGTGATAAAATAAATGACGTTAGTTTCACTGACATCAAGTAAATTATTTCAAGCTCCTGTAATTATCATTAATTTAGGCCATCATCAATACATTAGGGGTAATAGTGTTTTTACTGATCTCAGTGCTGCTTCCAGTAACAGCTACAGTTAAATTATGGTAACAGAAATATTGAAGCGTGGAATGAAACACACCTTTTTACTTTCTCCCCCAATGGAGAAAGTATTGTTTTCGTCAAAACTTTTGCGTGGATATATCCGTTTTGGGTCCCCCTGAACCCAAAAAAGTGGTTTTTGAAGTGATGTCTGTCCGTGTGGATGTCTGTATGCGTAGAGAGCTACAGACTACCCCTGTGGTCTGATTTTGATGAAGTTGGTATGTAGGTACTAATCCATGGTATCTCCAGGTTTTTTTCATTTTCTAAAATTGTTTTTTTTAATATGTGATTTTTCCATTAAACCCCGTAAAATAACGAAAAGATCGGATTTCCTCAAACACTTGACTTGACTTATTTCCTGTCGCTCCTTAGCGGGAGCATAGGGCATCGAGAAGAGCTCGCCATCCATCCCTGTCTTGCGCCAGATCCCTCAGTTGACCCCAGGTCCTCCCGACACTCGAGGCTTCCTTCATTATTGTTCTCCTCCAGGTGTCACAGGGTCTTCCTCTCTTTCTTGTCCCTTGGGGATTCCATTCCAGGGCCTTCTTTTCAATTGCACCATCCGTCTTCCGAAGAGTGTGACCCAGCCACCTCCACTTCCGTCTTCTGATTTCTAGGCTGATCTTGGTTTGCCCTGTTGCCTCCCAAAGCTGTTCATTTGATATAGTGTTTGGCCAGAACACTCTCATTATACGTCTGAGACACCTGTTTACAAACACCTGGAGCTGAGAAGTACTTCGCTGATCCATTTTCCAAGTTTCACTGGCATATAGAAGGACAGACTTGACGTTTGTGTTGAAGATGCGGATTTTGGTTTTCATTGAAATATTTCTATTTCGCCATATTGGGTAAAGCTGAATAAATGCTGCATTAGCTTTCCCAATGCGGCTCCTAACATCTTCCTTTGCTCCTCCGTCTGCTGTGACTTTCCTCAAACACGGTCCAAACAATGATGATAAAAATTAAGTATATTATAGTCCTGTCCATTCTGAACAAAATAATACAAATCCCATTCCTATAAAACTTACGGTTCCACAATTATTGTAAAATTAGAAACTTTACCGTGGTAAATAAATAAAATTACGAAAATTGGGTTTTGGAAAAAAGGCCAGTTTCGATTAAAACTACCGTAGTATGTTGTGGTCCTTTAAATTCTGAAGAAAATTATACAAATCCAATATCCGTGAAAAATACGGTTCAAAAGTTATTGTAGGCCTAACTTATGTTATTTTCCCATAGAAACCCCATAAAGTAACAAAAATTGGATTTTGGAAAATAAGCCGGTTTTGTTTACAATTAATCTGTTATGGTCCTTTTAATTCTAAACAAAATAGTGCTACCTCCTATTGTTGTAACAATTACTGTTCAAAAAGATATTGAAACTTTTGTGATTTTTTACTTATAAAATATCATAGTTACTCCCACCGCTTACCCATGATAAAGGTTATTGACAAGCTCATGGGAGAAAGTATGGGTCAGATTGTTGATACCGTTTATTTATTATGAAACACATTAACACAATGGTAATTTCATAGCACAGAGTATATCATACACCTGACAGCTTTCCTCGTGTTATTATCACTGCTAATATGGCTTGGTAACACAACAGCAGAGACAACCGAAACAATCGTGTAATATTGTGTCATATTGTAACACTCAAAAGCGTTAACAATCCAATTAGACTCATTAACAGGAGTAATATTGGTTTTACAATCGAAGTTTATATCCTCTAATACATGTCAAAAGTAAAACATTTTAACACATGTTATTGTATGTCCTGTATACGGCTATACTGGAGATAAAAAGTCCAGTATCTCTCTTTTTAAGCATGTATTCTATACAAAAGTAAATAAATAATTTACGTACAGTAATTATATGTCAAATAGTAAGAATAAATTCCCCAGCCGCAGCAAACATGCAAACTAAGCGAATTTCCATTGACATGGCTGGATTTCCACTGAAATAATCCTTTGTAATGAGTACTGTCTGATTCAATTCCTATTTAAATAAAATTACTTGAGATGAGTACTTAGGTTTGTTAGATTTAATTAAAATGTATCCATAAAAAGGCTAACATTAACAGTTTATTTTTTTCCTTTAAAATAACACAAGAATAAATAATCTACAATTTTTAAAATTTTCTCCGTTATCGTTAACATCATTACTTTTATGTAGTAAAATTATTACTTTTTAACGCTCTACAAAATGGTTTGGTGAGAAATTGCAAAATGTTACGTTTTTAGGGCCAAAAATGTTAAAATCCAGTTTTTGCCCCCATAACACCCCAACTCAAACCACCGTTACTACAATCGGATCATGCTAAATTACAACATAGTTCAAATAAATGTAAATTAACACATTTCACGTTTCGTATAAATTAACATGATTGTGTATGTTGTGTGTATTGTTTTCAGTACAAATTATTAAAACTCTGATTCATATTCTTTAGCCAAGGTACTGAATTAAATCTCCAATCACAAATCACGAAAGATTCATTAAAATGTTGGACACCCTCTTCTTAATTGAGGTTTTCAGTTTCCTTACAAGTTCATGTGGTGTAATCTAAGTAGGCCTACTTAAAAAGAGTTTTAGTAAGGCAATCATAGAGGAGATAACACAATCAAAACTGTTTTGGAATTGAAAATGTTTAAGGAATTATCACATACTTTGAGTAAATAATATTTGCATGACTATCAACGTCCTACATACATAGCGATAACGATATGGTAAACAAATCACTTGGCGATGCTCAATAATTACAATGATTGAAGTCAAGTTCACGATATACATGCTTGACTGAGTAAATACACTGCATATACTAAATATAAGAACCCACTTGATACCCTATTGAATCCAGTACAAACAAGATCAATTAATTTTTACTGTATCGACGTTTTAATTAGTAACCAGTTATTTACGATCAGGAAAACGTCCCTCTGGATTTCTTTTTTATGTGTAAACAATATATTGGAGAATGTTTAGTCAACTGACTGAGATAAAAATACTGCATGATTTTCTTCAAAAATATGTTTGTTTTCTAATAACTTATACAAATATATGGCACTACAAAGACACTAAATATGAATTACTTATATATTGATACCTCTCCAATATATGTTCAATTACACGCATTAGTATCATGTAAGTGAATGAAGTTCTATAAGAACACCTACAATAGAAATCATTTCATACATTTGAAATATAATAGATGAATAATACTATTACATCACATTTATTAATGCACACAGTTGTAAATGAAAAGCGAATATACTCTATAACGGGATTTAGCTTAACTGTTTGCTCAACCGTGTTTACTCTTCATTCAGTAATTTTAGTAAATCAATAGTTGAAATAAGCTAAATCAATTTTAGGTTTTAATATTGACGTGAATAGAAACAAATGGTAACCAACGTGTTTTACAGGTCGTATAAGAGTATTGACATTAAGAGTTGTTACATGTTAGGTTCTGTTAAGGTATTTCGAATTGTTTAACATTTGACGGTACACTGAGTTGGTTACTTTAATATAAACACAGCTTTCTAAAACAGCACTTTTAAACATACTAAAAAAAGTTTTAAATATACATAAACTAAGCGAGCTATGTTGGTTAGAATTACTCAACTCCTTTCAAAATTTACAGGGTCACACAGCAAAGTTGCTCAGTAAAAATAAAAACTTTAATAACTCAGCTGTATTTACGGTTTTAGATTCAGGTACGCCGCATTGCGCACAGATAATATATTCACCGAGCCTAGAGTAAAAACTGATTGATATCAACTGTTTTTGGTCACACCAGAATTTCTGTTACTGTTTGTCATTTGTGCAATAAACACAAAGTTAGGATGGGTTGAGTACTTATTGTTGTAACGTAAACAATGTATTAGTAAAAAAGCAAACCTACGGTCATTCGAAATAATTAGTTTGGATGTGCCCTTATTAATCTTATACAAACTAACACGATTTTGACTGGTTTTTGAATAATGTAAGTAAAAGTAAACGACTAAGTATACTAATTCAAGGGGGTTCAAAGTTGTATTTTAATGACTAAATCCACTCCCATCAACATCGGTTTGGCCAGGACGTTTGATGGGCCATGAAAGCCAATACATAATATAGGTAGGCCGCATAACTCAGTTGTCGGCTTTACAGTACCACTGTATTGATGGTGAGTTCACAGTACTAGTGATGAAACGTGTTTTGTTAGTGATGAGCAAATACCTGCCTGAATACTGATAGATTGGAATACAATGTCATTGTTCACCACGGCTATATTATAAATCAAAACTATATGACATTTGAGCTTTTAGCTTACTGTAATGTATTGTTAGTAACGGCAATTATTTTATTGCAATGTCTATCAACGTGCTTATACCCAAAGGTTCTAATATTATAATTATTCATATACACACTTACGTCACAAATGTTTTGCTTACAATAGTATGAGACGAGTAATTTTTTAAGGAATTTTCATACAGTGCTTTGATAAATATACGACTTGTAAATAACACATTTAAATCGTACTACTATTATCAAAGGAAAATGGATGACCTTTGAAACTGCTATACAATCATTCAAATCTTTGTTCCTAATGCGCAAGATTCAGATACCTGCTTGAACCTAAACTTTACTTTTAGCGAATTTCCCATATAGGGAATAAGCTATTACCGTAGTACTCATGGTAAGACCTGGACCCAGGACCAATTTTTTTTTCGTTTTGAGGTCCCTTGAGGCCAAAAACACCATCCGTTCAAATTAATATATATATAAATATATATATGTATATATTTATATATATATATATTTATATATATATATATATATATATGTGTGTGTGTGTCCGTTAGCGCGATAACTCGAGCAAAAATGATCCGATTTTGATGAAATTTGGTACAAACGTGTAAACCTACGTTTATTCAAACGAGTTCACGAACCAGCATGATCGGACCATGGGAACGGGGGTTTATAGGGGCTTTTATGGGATAAAAATGGGTTTCTCCAATTTTTGACCCAAAAAACATAAAATTTTTCAATTTCTTTCCAAACTATTTTGTAGAGCTTAAAAAATTAAATAATTTAGTATATTGAAGCGTTATAATGCGCCTCATGGTTAGGGAGAAAATTCCAAAAAATTTTTAATTTAAAATTCCCATGTTATTCTTATGGAGAATAAGTAAACTGTTGTAGTTTGCTTGATTATTAACATATTTTGCCCAAATTTGGAAAATGTTTTTATTTTTTACTAACTATTAACATTTTAAATAAAAAACACTTTTACCCTCCCTGTTGCAGCAAACCTAAGTATGTGTTAAACTGATTCTATTTAAATAGGGAATAAATGTGATATTTTTAAGGAGACATTTTAGTGTAAATCCAATCAGGCAAATGGAAATTCGCTTAGTCTGCAGGTTTGCTGTGGCGTGGGTATTTACTATTATGAGTTTTTTATGACTTCCAACATTTTACAACGATAAATAAAGTGTTTGGGCACTTATGTGGTTAGCCTGTGGTCTGAGACTCCACCAATAAACAGACTACACTAAAATACATCCTTTATAATGTAAACCACTTCCAGTCCTTCTGGACTCGCTTGTCACTGTTCAAACAACGTGTAGAAACAACATCAACACATAGAAATTACCCCACCCTCAGTAAGCCACTGTTTCTGAATTTGTGTATCATAACAGACAATGGATAATGGACAATGAGTCTATAAATATAAATCCGGTCTAATACAATTCTGGCAATGGTA